CCGTCCCCCCAATTCCCCAATATAAATCTTTAAAAAAAGAAGACTTCATCCTATAGGCAAGACGCGGGGGACTAATGCTTCTATTCTAAGCAGGAGCGAGATATGGTCAGCTTCCCTTTAGAAAGATTTGTGGAGTTGGGGTTAGTGGAGCAGGACCTGAGGCCAGAAAAGGGGCTGGAAACTATTTCCTACAACTGTCCAAGAGTGCTAAGGACTGAACTGACCTGGAGCAGGAGTGGAAAGGACCAGCAGGATTAAGCAACATTTAGTAGGTAAAACTGGCAAGACTTAGTACCTGGTTAGAATTGGGTGGGGAGAGGCTGCCCAGATTTCTGGTTTAGGTCATTTGGGTGGGTAAGATACAGAAAGACAAGGGGTTTGTGAGCACTTGCTATATATCAGGCATAAGGCTAGACTATTGATGCCAAGAGATGCTGAGAAGCTGGTTCAGGGCCGCAGCAAGTGAGCGAGTGACCAAAGGGGGGAACTTGAAACTCTATCTTCAGATGCCCAGTTTAGGCACTTTTCAACACACCCCACTGAGTGTGCAATCCAAGAAATGTGTCCTTTCCAGGGATAAAATTTCTGCCTCTCACATCACAACTCTTAACCCATTAAGAGGACCAATAACAATTCAGGCACTGAGGGAGGTGAGAGGGAGGACTTTTGACCATCTGGGGCCTTCTACACCTAAAATAATAAAACACAAAAGTGTTTTACCTCAAGCCACCTCACACTGGCGTTCCTTTTATTCCATTCATTTTGATGTACTACGTGTTAGATAAACTTAATTGCTTTGCTTCTAACACCCATTTTGATTGTTGGAGACAGATCACTCATGTTCATTTCTTAATTTTCCCAAAGTGCCGTAGTTTAACACTGCCACTGAGTATAAGAAATGAAAACCATCCTCTGGAATGATGTATTCAAGCAGTTTTTCAAGTAAGTTTTCCCCAATTTCATTTCAAGAAGCAGTTTTGAGTTTTTGTTAGTAAGTAGAACCTGGCTTGATAAATGTGTGTTGAATGAAGGAGGCAGGGAAGAGAGTAAGAAACCGAAGTGACGCCTCAAACAAAATTCAAGACCCAACACATTCCCTTCTCACAAACCTGTGGTCCCACCAAGGGCCATCAGAGCAGTGGGAGGAAGTGTTCTCCAAGCTCCGGTTCCAAACCTCCCTCTACAACATTGCTAGAGCGGGACAGAGCCCGTTCTTGTGCTTACCTAGCGGGATGCACAGGGTCCCATGCGATTGCAGCTTTGTTGGCGGAAGGCAGACTGGCTACCTGCAGGGAGGTTCATTCACATGAAGGTAACTGGCAGCATGCACCTGGACTGCCCTTCAGTCCTTGGTAATATTTATCAGGAAATTAACTTCCTGTCCTTAATCAGCTGAGGGCTTTCAAAGAGGCAAACATGGCTTGGGCATGGTGGGGGAAAGTAAAGAGGAAGTGGCAAAGAGCAGTTACCAAGCTGTTGCCCAGTATCTGCCTCATCTCCATTTTGGCCCAGTTTCAGTTTCTGGGCAAGCTGAGGGAAAGTCGTGTGGCTGATACCGTCAAGGTGTGGAGGCTTCTGCTCAGTTTTCGGGTCTGACAGATATGGCGTCACATTTTCAAGGTTGGTGGGGGGACTTGATAAGAATCAAGCACACAGTGTAGCAATCCAAAAGAGCTTATATAAAACTCAGACAAATTCTGAAAGGTAGCCTCACATATTTTAGAGGCAGCATTCACACACCACTATGGCCAAAAGAAGTAAAGGTAGTTTTTGAGAGCAGCAGTTGTCTTTTGCATGTAAAATTTGCATGTTCAGAAAATGAATACTGAAAAAGAAAAGCTTAGAGATATGACAAGGTAATTTGACATCTATCATTAGAACTTAATATTATAACAATCCTGGTGCTGTAAAGTCATGGAATACAGGGATAGACAATGACAGTTCTCATATGTTGAGGGCTTAATGTACCCTAAATTCTAAGTCCCTGTTCTAAGCACTTCATACATAGTAACACATTTATTCCACATAACTCTATGAAGAAGATGAAAAAATGGACTCCAAGTGGTCATGCAATTTATCCAAGTACCTAAGCGTCAGAGCCAGGATCTGAAATTAGGCACTCAGGTCCCAGTGCCCGTCCTCTCACCTACGCTCTGAAAACATACATAAGGAGCTACAACAAATGCATCTTTTGATCAACAACAACAAAAAAGCCACACCTAATGCCAAATGAACTGTTTACTCTGGTCTCCCTATAACTAGATTTGACAAGAGGGTAAATCTTGGAGAAGTAAAATTCTCAGAGATTAATCAGAGAGATCAAGATGGGTGAGTGTTGGTGAGCTCTTTTTATACAGAGGGTGCCAAAAATGTATATATACACATTTTAAGAAAGGAAAAAACTATTAAAATTGTAATACTTAATATAAACCGATAACAAAAGATGAATACAAGTCACGCTTGACTTCTGCAATTACAAGAGGTGCTCAAA